ACTAGCAAGCCTTTCACAACACATTAACCAGTTTATTAAAAAAAGATATGATAACTTTACATCTCACATCACAACAAAGAAGAAAGACAGTGATTTATACAGTAAATCTAAAACTCTTAAAGCCTATTTATACTTATAGTATAGTACGAGAAATCTACTTTATAATATCAATTTGGGTTTATTATGATAAAGAAACTTTAAAACTGTACCTGAATATAAAATAATACATTGAGATAAGCCAAATTTATTGTTTTTATTAATGATAAAGTTTATTTAATCATACAAATTTTAGTTTACAAATGAACAGTTGTTATCATTATTAAGTGATTTATCTCAAAAATTCTTGACCTCTTTGCATAGAAGAATTCATAATCTCGCTGATACTTATCTATTACTCTAATTCTGATATATGATTTTGTCCTAACCTTAATGAAACACAGTAAATTATCTGATGCATGAGACAGTTGCAAGTTTTTATTCTTACACATTTATACTAAATGTATAGCTATCGAGAATAACAAGCTATTTTGACAGAAAATCTAAAATTTTAAATTATAGTACGTATAAATTATAGTAGCTTATTTCAGTTTCAGTATATATACTTTGGTAGTATAAAAATAAATTCAATATTTTTATTGCTCTTTTAAAAGCTTCTAAATATATATATTTGATAAACTATAAAATAGCACGATCAATAGTGTGATGCACCAGGAAAGAACGAATATACTGCACTTCACATCAAGGTGATAAAAATATATAGAAATTCAAGTTATTGTAAAATACAACGCAAATATTAGAAATATTAGCATTCTCGGTTTATTCAATATTATACTGTATTTTAAAATATTAAAGATTTTTTATTAAAATATTACACAAATTCAGTTCAAATGAATCGTGAATTGTAATTTTTAATTAAATATTTATCCTATTGTCAAAGAATTCAACTATATGCATTTGAAGCCAGATTTATTTATAAATATATAACAATAAGTATTAACGCATTTTATTGTTATAAATTCTTTGAACAGGGGTCTTTATAATTCTAATCATAGTGCTCAGAATATATCAATGATACTTAAAATTGGACCCATTGAGAAAGTTGCCAACTAGAGTATTATTATACATATTTTGGATAGAAATTCTACTCTAAACAATCTCTGACATGGTAAGAGAATGCCAATCTAATTCTATATAGTAAACTTCCCAAAATATTCAAATTGATATTGTTCCACATGTTATTGATGCAACTCTAATACGCTGCCTCTATAAAAATAAGGCTGAGTTAAAAATCAACAAACTCTGCATATTATAGAAAATAGAATAGTTCAATATAAAATACAGTAAAACTTCTATAAGTGCACCCTCTATAAGTGCACACCCTCTCTAAATGCACGATCAAATTCAGGCCAAACTATATAAATAATACATTTTTTATTATTTTCTAAGTACATATAGTTAAAGTTTGGTCTTAAGAGCATGCACTTATAGAGAGTTTACTGTAGTGTAATGATTTTATTATTTTTCTAGTTCGTATAGAATAAAAAAAAATATTAGTAACAAGTAAAATGATATATATATCAACAATTATAATTATGTAAAAAAATATAAAATCTTTTGTTGTGTGAGAATAGCAGTTTTTACTTGTACTATATTTCGATAGTCATCAATTAACCTAATTATATTATATATTATAAATTTTTATTAAACTTTAATACAATAAATATTATCAATACATATATTTGATCTTGTGTTTTATTTTTTTAACAAGAAGTCCAAACCCAGGCTTTATACTTAAATTGTGAAAGAAGGCGATTTCCAATCTCCATCAGTCCAATCATCTGATAAACTAGTTATTGACCAACTTGACAGTCTTATACTAGAAAGCCAGAATGCAAGCGAAGAAAATGAAACTGATATTCCAGACCGTAAAGATGGATCAAAAAACCAAAGCTGGGTGTAGAAATATTTTGAATTAGAGAAAGTGACTGAAGTTATAAAAGAAAGATCTAATCGTATTAATATTAAAGCTACATATTGTACTTGTTTTGTATTAAATGATTTGAGTAAAAATTGTGATGCAAGATTAAAAATTGTAGGTGGGTTAACTTTAAACTTAATATCTCATTTATGGAAGAGTCATGGTATTATGCAAGACGGACCTAACTTACATATACCAGATAATAAATAAATTAGTTCATTTTAATTAACTAAAAAGTTAGTACATAGTGCTTTTTTGTGCAATGAGTTATAGCAAAATCAAATGTTTTAATTTTAATTAAAATAACAAACTTTTGTATACTTATCTTTGAGCTACAATAAATCAATAAATAAGGTATACAATTTTTGAGTATACTATAGTTTTTTAGATTAAAAAAGTTGCATTAGAACATTGTGCAAGATCAGAATTTGTTTGCTTCGCCATTTTCTATAAAATTGAAAATTTCTGTTAAAAGTAAAAATAAAATATAATACAAAAAAACAATGCAAGAATACATGAATTAACCCTACTTTAAATATTTAGAAACGATTTTTTTTGCTTATAATTCTAACTTCATGCGGGTTCTAGTTTTAAAATAAGTATGTCAATAAAGATTTTAAGAGAAACAAATCTAATTATACGTATGTTCTGAAAAAAAGAAGTTATACTATGATATGCCGTGTAGAGATTATTAGTATAGCGATCTAAAATATAAAAGCGATCATCAGTCAAAAGTTAAAACTTTAATTACTAGAAGGCACAAATAAATTTTTAATTTGAATTTGTCGACGTTTATAAGGCTTCCTATAAAAGTATTCAAAGACAATATTAATAAGTGGTACCAAGAAAAAATATAACTTCGTAAATTATAAAAAGCTCAAGTGTTATTTTCTCTACTCGTATATTCAATAAATATTCGATAAACAACTAATGGGTACCTGTGGTAATACTCTAGCTCTACCTATTTGTGTAAGGGTTTTATTTTTAAGCCCTTATCCTACCCTAGAGTCCAGAAATCAATACCCTAGCCCGGCCCTCATAGTACTATTTGCGGGTACCCATGGGTAGCCCAGGCCCATGCGGAGGCCTAGTCATAGTATAGTCTTGAAATTCAGAATATATAGTAGTGATAAGTGGGTCATAGTAGATACACCAGAGCAGGGGTGTAATAGTTTTATCTTGATTAATTCTGTCAAATACTGGATAAAATAAGATTGGCCCAAGGTTTGTAATAATTGAGTTTTGGCAGTCTGTGAGTATATTGATAAGTAGTTGTTGTATTTTAGTTGAGATTTGTAAACAATTTAGTGCATATTTAAGTAGAGGTAAATATACTGAATCATATGCTTTACTTATATCCTGCGAAAGGAGCCAGACCTCTTTGTTTTAGATCTGGGCTTCTTGCAGGATATTTGTAAGTATGTGAATTGGTAATATTGTGGAGTTGTGTGGGGTTGCTACAAAGTTGTTTGGATAAAGTATTGGGTAACATGTCATAATTTGGCTAAGCTAGTTTGTGATAATTTTTGTAAAAATTTTATATGTATATTCTATAAGTGTTATAGGTTTTGTATGGTTTAGTTGACTAGTGAATATAGGTTTTTTAGATATAGGATATATCTTGCTGTACTTCCATATTGTGGAGATATTTGAAGTTTCTATACATTTGTTAAATAATATTGTTAATAGTTTGGTGACATGGGGATGAATGTATTTTAGCATCTCATTAGAGATGAGTGATAGTCCGGTAGCTTTATTGTTAGGTGATTGTTTTATAGTTTGAGTTACCTCCTGTACTGTAATAGGTTGGGCTAGTGTTTGGTATCAGGATAGGTCTATATTATATTGTGGTATATAGTTTTATTTCTATTGTTTCCATAGTAT